ACCCCGGAATCTTCACGGGTCGAACAAACTAGTGATTGATATTATGAGTAACGAACCACGTAGATCTTGTCAGCGTATAGGGGTTATTTCTATTAACAATCAGTAATGAATGCGTTCGCTACTATCCTAAGTTGACTACATGAACCGCATTACAAGATCGAAGTTTACTTAAATATTCCAGCTATATGACCACGACCCGTAAATGATCGCGTCTGGACCACATAAACCAGTGATTGATATTATGTCCAACGACACTCGATGCTGGGGTAATATGACACGCTATCAACTTAGCGAGCCTGCCCATCCGATCCTCTAAGTCGCCTCAGGTCGCCATAGGTTCATGGGGACCTATTCTAACCCGGAGGGGAACACGGGTGGCCCAGTCGTCTAAGGCGCCGCGATTCGCTGTGCAGAGTTGCGTCCCTTGGGCACCCCATAAACCTACGATAGTGGGTTCGAATCCCGGTTCGCCCCGATTATGTTTCTAGGTTTGTCAGCACCATACCCGTGCTCGTGGGTTTCACCGAAGTGGTAAACGTCTGAGCCCTGCATCACTTCGGGCTTTCCTCCCACATTAAGCTGACACGCCGCGATATAACTGGAATACTATAAGCGGCATTACACCCAACTCACTCACTCACTCACTCTAACCCGGAATTTCCACGGGTTTGTGCAATAAGGTAGATATTATGATAATACATGTTCCCGCATGTGGCCACTTTTAGAGCGCATCTTATTCAAAAGGGTCTACTCTGTGTGATATGTGTCTGACTATTATACAATAATTATATTCAGTGTTTATTTAACGTGAACATTGAGTGAGGAGTGAGTGAGCATGATTTTACGCCGCATTTTCCCACAAATTTCATTGCGTGAACTTCAGTAAAGGGAAATCGACCCCAGATCGTTGGTGTGACGTGTCAACACTTTAACAGTTACGCCACCGAACTGCCTCTTCGTCAACAGGGAAACACCATCACCATGACAACAATCCCGTATACATCTATATTTTAGACCTGAACTATATTATACATTTTATACTAAGTATATACTTCACTATACGCCGCGAGTAGCTGGCATTCAGCGAGTATTGTCTCTATTGATAAGCATATAACAGTTCGACATTTCCATAAATGAGTAGTCACATATTTTATTCATGTTTTTTATTTATTCAAGCACAATTTGTTTTGCGGGTTCACAAATCTGTGCGGCGGTTTCGTGAGACTGACGTATCCGAAATGTTCACTGGCATTTGAAACCTGTAGAATTAACGGAGACGGATATTGATTAATGGATTTCAACACCTTTATTCTTTCAATCTGACGTTTCGGTACATTATTTGCCTGATAAAGTCACATTTGTTACATAGAGATTACTACACGAGTGTATGGCCGATGCCATTTATCTTACAACGAGTTGTTTGAAAACGTATTTAACGAGCAGAAGCGAGTTGTAAGATGAATGGTATCTGACAGACTGGAGTGAAGTAATCTGTTTCTAACACGCCCTAAAATCGCACCATTGTAGCTTCGAATCGATGCATATTTTGTATATTCTCATGATCGCAGTGGCGCATTAATACACAACACAACGGCCATGAGTGACGTCATCCAGCTTACTTCTTACTACTCAAACCTAGTGTGACCCTCCGCAAAACATGTTCCGCCATATCTGTATATTATAAAGGCAATGATGATAATGCAAGCTAGATTATATATAATTTTTCTTGGTATAAAACGTCATTTGGTTTAGAAATGTATCTAAATATAATTAATGTCTCTAAATTTAGGAATTGTCTTGCAAAACTAAAATGCGGTTTCAAACTAGTTAAGAATTGAAACCGGAAAATACTGCCAACAACCAAGATGTGAGAGAATGTGTGTACTGTGTAACAAACTATACATAGACGATGAGTACCATTTCATCCCTTAGGGCGAGAATTTATGGATGTCAATTTCTTTTTTTATGAGGAACACAACTTTTCGAAGTATACACTTACTCCTTCATCAGGTGATCATTTTCAAGTTGACATCTATAAAAATTCTCTTCCTTATGTGTATCACTTCTAAATGCCTTTCAGAGACTTCATTGAGTTTGTAACATGTGTCGATCCACCAGGAACTGTTTTTACCATGCATATTTTGTGTCATTCCTGAATATATATTTAACATGCTCATGCCAATAAAAATGCAGATACTAGTATTTGAAAGAATCTCGCATTGTATGTCTATCAGTCTACACAACAACGAAGAGCTGTAGTAGAGCAAATAGCATTGTCTCCCTATTGCATCACTACGTTACAGCCCATTTCTGGTGTCCCCCGCCGTGATATTGCTGAAATATTGTCAAAAGCGGCGTAAAACCATACTCATTCACTCACTACGTTACATGGGTCTCTGGTCTGCACACCTTTGTGAATATAGCCAATTAAAAGACAAGTATCATATCTGCGTGCATGTCCTATCTAATCTCAGCTTAGAATTACCACCAGATTACTTAGCAATACGGTAAGCTAACATCAAGTTGTATGGATCCGTCGCGCAACGGGCACAATTATCGCTGCCACACCCAAGAACACGTGAAATCCACACAATGTAAAGTATCCTTCAAAAGTTCTGTACAACAGATGTTTTGGTTTGGTTTGGTTTGTTGTTTTACGCCGCACTCAGCAATATTCCAGCTATATGACGGCGGTCTGATAATAATCGAGTCCGGACCAGACAATCCAGTGATTTACATCATGAACATCGATCCACGCAATTGGGATCGATGACATGCTTCAACTAAGTCAGCGAGCCTGACCACCCGACCCCGTTAGTCAGTTTTACGACAAGCATAGTCGCCTTTTACGGCAAGCATGGGTTGCTGAAGACCTATTCTAACCTAGATCTTCACGGGACTACAACAGATGTAATAAAACTTTCATATTGCATACAGCCCTACGATCCAACATATCATTTCTCTCAAAAGATAAGTCATTTTATGTCAGGGTTGAAGTGACAACAGCGATGGAACTGCCTGTCCGACCACGGCGTGTCTAAACCATAATGCTAACGCCGGTATTAGCTATAGCTTACTCTGTGCAACACCCAACGCGACACGGAGGTCAATTATGGTTTAAATACAAGCCGATGACAGTACGGGAAGGAACTTAAGCGATCCCTCCAATTTCGCTGATGCTTAATTCATCATTGGATAGATTATACTCGCGACAATATCATTTCGGTTCAGCATGCCATATAGATCATGTAATTTTCACTTGTTTGTTATGCATCCAGCGAAGGGTTATTGGCATGTTATTACTGCTCTTCATGGCAGTCCCATTTTTGCCACTTTCGTAATGAAACCAATATATTTACAGTATGGACCAGGAAAGGTTGAACTGAAAGTGAAATGAGGCGGGAGGGTGAGACTGATGGAGTTTTGACGATGTATAATGTCAGTCCGTTCTCTTTGGTGCTGCGACTCCACGTGCTCATAAGAGTGTGAACTGTAAAGAGAAGTCGCCATGGGGATTGCTGGGAAAATAGGCTCCAAGCACCCCTTTGTATCCTGATCGCGTCGATCGGTACTCATGCTATCAACCACGTGTTTGCGTAACCAAGATTATTTTATTATGACATAGCTGGCACATGTCTGACGTACTTCGTTAAAAGAAAAAGTGAGTGGGAAGGATGAGTGAATGTCATTTTAGGCCGCTGTCAACTATTTCAACTATTGCAGATTACATATATATTGAAATTGTGTACATACAATATTGATGCCATGAGCAGGGATCAGCGTCCTCGGGGGACAATGAAACAGAACCAAACAGGTCATACACTTTAACCAAACAATCCACAGTCAAGCTCTTTCGACAAATGGCGGACCTCATTTGTCGAGTATCCAAAGTTTGTCCATTGTTGTATTCATAAATGCGGGGCGGTGGTGTAGCCTAGTGGTTAAAGCGTTCGCTCGTGACGCCGAAGACCCGGTTTCGATTCCCCACATGGGTACAATGTGTGAAGCCCATTTCTTGTGTCCCCCGCCGTGATAATGCAGGAATATTGCTAAAAGCGGCGTAAAACCACACTCACTCACTCACTCACTCACTCACTACTCATAAATGCCCTGGACCCAGTTGCCACAAAAGCTTCGTTTCAGAAGCAACATCACCAGCTCAAGCTCAAGCTCAAGCTCCAGGTCCATCATCACAAACTCAAATGTTCACTCGCGCAGGGGCTTTAAGTCAATACAAACTACGTCTTCCTCGCGAGAGAATGGCATAGATTTACATTCAAAATTGCGGCCTCGTACAAGCGTCCCCTCGATGTATCTTATCCAATCAGAAAACTGAAAAGGTAGGAAGGAGTGTGCAGTAGATGAGACTAACACAAACAAATGGGAAATCTAATGGCATCATTGCGGCGCCTCTGAGACGCATTCTCGGAAAGATTTTAAACAAAAACATGTATTGTCCATTTCTCTACTGCTCAGTTAAATGTTTTAGATTTAAACATAATTTGCAACAATCAAATCCGTCTTTTTGCTTCATCAGTGGAAATTGAGACGTTGTGTATAATCTAGTTATTTTGTGGAGGTTCCATTTCAAAACGAGCTTGTTTCCTAATGTAACTTTTTGAGTTTTCAATTAAGACTATTCCCATTCGATATTAGCAACAGTGTTAGATAACAAGCGTGACGTCAATTGTAGTGAATTAAGTCACACGGGATTTATGTATAGAATTTGTCTGAATAGGAACAATATGTTTTATGTTGAATAAACGGATTTAATGAGCCAGGAATAGTGGCTTTAACCAAAGGGATGACGTTTCTTCGTAAAGTATCATCTTGACGGAGACGTGAGTGAGTTTAACGTCGCTTTAGCATTTCAGTTACGTCGCGACTTATTGATGTGAACATGTTGGAAGTGACGTCTACCCACCAGCACCAATATGTGCCGACAGACCAAGGATCATAATTTGGGATTCGAACCCTGAAATGACTAAGTTCAAAGATGGCTAAGGAGAAATGAATGGGTAAGGGGGTAGGGGGGAAGGGAGTGTGGGGTGAGGGAGCGTGGGGTGAGGGAGTGTGTAGTGAGGGAGTGTGGAGGTGTTGGGTGTGGGGGTGTTGGGTAAGGAAGTGTGTAGTGAGGGAGTGTGGAGGTGGTGGGTGTTGGGTGAGGGAGTGTAGGTTGAGGGAGTGTGGAGGTGTTGGGTGAGGGAGTGTGTTGTGAGGGAGTGTGGGGTGAGGGAGTGTGGAGGTGAGGGAGTGTGGGGTGAGGGAGCGTGGAGGTGTGGGGTGAGGGAGTGTGGGGTGAGGGAGCGTGGGATGAGGGGGTGTGGAGGTGAGGGAGCGTGGGGTGAGGGAGCGTGGGGTGAGGGGGTGAGGGAGTGTGGAGGTGAGGGAGTGTGGAGGTGGGGGGTGAGGGAGCGTGGAGGTGAGGGAGTGTGGAGGTGAGGGAGTGTGGGGTGAGGGAGTGTGGAGGTGAGGGAGCGTGTGGTGAGGGGGTGTGGGGTGAGGGAGTGTGGAGGTGAGGGAGTGTGGAGGTGAGGGAGCGTGAGGTGAGGGAGTGTGGAGGTGGGGGGTGAGGGAGTGTGGAGGTGAGGGAGTGTGGAGGTGGGGGGTGAGGGAGTGTGGAGAGGAGGTAGTGTGGAGGTGAGGGAGTGTGGGGTGAGGGAGTGTGGAGGTGAGGGAGTGTGGAGGTGGGGGGTGAGGGAGTGTGGAGGTGAGGGAGTGTGGAGGTGAGGGAGTGTGGGGTGAGGGAGTGTGGGGGTGAGGGAGTGTGGAGGTGGGGGGTGAGGGAGTGTGGAGGTGAGGGAGTGTGGAGGTGAGGGAGTGTGGGGTGAGGGAGTGTGGAGGTGAGGGAGTGTGGAGGTGGGGGGTGAGGGAGTGTGGAGGTGAGGGAGTGTGGAGGTGAGGGAGTGTGGGGTGAGGGAGTGTGGAGGTGAGGGAGTGTGGGGTGAGGGAGCCTGGGGTGTGGGGTGAGGGAGTGTGGAGGTGAGGGAGTGTGAGATGAGGGAGTGTGGAGGTGGGGGGTGAGGGAGTGTGGAGGTGAGGGAGTGTGGAGGTGAGGGAGTGGGGGATGAGGGAGTGTGGAGGTGAGGAAGTGTGGAGGTGGGGGGTGAGGGAGTGTGGAGGTGAGGGAGTGTGGAGGTGAGGGAGTGTGGGGTGAGGGAGCCTGGGGTGTGGGGTGAGGGAGTGTGAGGTGAGGGAGCGTGGAGTGAGGGGTTGTGGAGGTGTGGAGAGTGGGGTGAGGGAGTGTGGGGGGTGGGTGGGGTGAGGGAGCGTGGGGTGAGGGAGCCTGGGGTGTGGGGTGAGGGAGCGTGGAGGTGAGGGAGCGTGGAGCGGGGTCGAGGGAGTGTGGGGTGAGGGAGTGTGGAGGTGAAGGGAGTGTGGGGTGAGGGAGTGTAGAGGTGAGGGAGTGTGGGGTGAGGGAGTGTGGAGGTGAGGGAGTGTGGGGTCGAGGGAGTGTGGGATGAGGGAGTGTGGAGGTGAAGGGAGTGTGGGGTGAGGGAGTGTGGAGGTGAGGGAGTGTGGAGGTGAGGGAGTGTGGGGTGAGGGAGTGTGGGGTCGAGGGAGTGTGGAGGTGAGGGAGTGTGGGGTGAGGGAGCGTGGAGGTGAGGGAGTGTGGAGGTGAGGGAGTGTTAGGTGAGGTGAGGTGAAATTGGGTTTAACGTCGCGTCCAAGATTATTGCACTTATATAGCGATGTGCATGCACGTGTATGTGTGTGTGTGGCTGCTTGTACTAGTCCGGACTGATGCCGATTTATAGTGCTAGCTCACTGAGATACCATGCCGCAGTTTAACATGAATACCCCACTCGGACACAGTATACTGACTCCGAGCCGACCAGTCCTTGTTTTAGCCCCTTAATGCCGAGCGCCAGACAGGGTAACAACAAGTACAATTTTTTAACGTCTTTTTGTATGACGCGGCCCGGGATCGAACCCTGGACCTTCCACTCTCCGGGCGGACGCTCTACCACTAGACCACGGAGGCGGTCTGAGGGAGTGTGAGGTGAGGGAGGGTGGGGTGAGGGAGAGTGGAGGTGAGGGGGTGTGGGGTGAGGGAGTGTAGAGGTGAGGGAGTGTGGGGTGAGGGAGTGTGGGGTGAGGGAGTGTGGGGTGAGGGAGTGTGGAGGTGAGGGAGTGTTGGGTGAGGGAGTGTGGGGTGAGGGAGAGTGGAGGTGAGGGGGTGAGGGGGTGGGTGGAATGAAGGTTAATAGGCCAATCTGAGGATGATTGAGTGAGTGACTGGTTTTTACGCCGCATTTAGCAATATTCCAGGAATATCATGGCTGCGGACACTAGAAATGAGCTTCACACATTGTACCCATGTGGGGAATCCAAACCTCGTCTTGGGCGTGATGAGCGAACGCTTTTAACCACTAGGCTACCCCACTCCCCCTGAAGATGCGAACAGGGTGAGGACGTCGATAGGGAGAGAAACAAGTACAGTTGGGCTTGAATTTCAAAAATTCAAAAAAAGGTCTCCGGGAATGACGAATCCTCGTAACTTTTATTCTTAACGTCCTTTGAATATGTACACATCCTTAAAGGTAGTTCAGAAAATCAGGGTATTAGATGAGTGGGCCTGTGTATGATAGGAGATTAATATCCTTCGACCACCTAGTGAGTGAGTGAGTGAGTTGGGTTTATCGCCTCTTATAACAGTATTTCATTTATATCACGGCGTTTCAACCACCTAGACTGCCACAACATATTTATTTGTTGACAGTAGTGTGTGTACATCCATAAGAATGGGTCTTCGCACCTTGCGCGCATATTGAATAGCGACAATGATTTCAATGTGGCGTGCGTGGGCCGTACCAGGATATGGATGACATTTGACGTCACGCATGCAGTACAGCACGACGTTTACATATTGATCAGGGGCGGTCGGGTAGCCTAGTGGTTAAAGCGTTCGCTCGACACGCCGAAGACTCGGGTTCGATTCCCGACATGGGTACAATGTGTGAAGCCCATTTCTGGTGTCCCCCGCCGTGATATTGCTGGAATATTGCTAAATGCGGCGTAAAACCATACTCACTCACACACTCACTCACTCACTCACTCACATATTGATCAACAGACACCAAACGGAACAAGAAACCTGTTTGTCCACCTTGGAGAAGTGGTATACGTGATGGCGGAGCAGCTGGAGTTACGGGTGACATTCTTCATCAGAGTAAATACATATGCGTTAAACGGTTGTTTATTGGTATGTAAAGATTCTTTAAAGGTGTTTTTTAGAAGCGAGGCTGGAGCCGTGTGTTTGATAGTGGTGGAGTAGCCTTGTGGTTGTTAGCGGTGGAGAAGCCTTCTGGTTGTGAGCAGTGTAATAACCAAGTGGTTGTTAGCACTGGCGAAGCCTTGTGGTTGAAGCGGTGAAGTAGCCTTGTAGTTGTTAGCGGTGGAGTAGCCTTGTGGTTGTTTGCGGTGGAGTAGCCTTGTGGTTGTTAGCGGTGGAGTAGCCTTGTGGTTGTTAGCGGTGGAGTAGCCTTGTGGTTGTTTGCGGTGGAGTAGCCTTGTGGTTGTTAGCGGTGGAGTAGCCTTGTGGTTGTTAGCGGTGGAGTAGCCTTGTGGTTGTTAGCGGTGGAGTAGCCTTGTGGTTGTTAGCGGTGGAGTAGCCTTGTGGTTGTTTGCGGTGGAGTAGCCTTGTGGTTGTTAGCGGTGGAGTAGCCTTGTGGTTGTTTGCGGTGGAGTAGCCTTGTGGTTGTTAGCGGTGGAGTAGCCTTGTGGTTGTTAGCGGTGGAGTAGCCTTGTGGTTGTTAGCGGTGGAGTAGCCTTGTGGTTGTTAGCGGTGGAGTAGCCTTGTGGTTGTTAGCGGTGGAGTAGTCTTGTGGTTGTTGGTGGTGTTGTAACCAAGTGGTTGTTAGCAGTGTGACAGCTCAGTGTTTGATATTAGGTGCTTTTTAGAAGCGATGCTGGAGTAGCCGTGTGTTTGATGGTGGTGGAATAGCCTTGTGGTTGTTAGCGGTGGAGTAGCCTTGTGGTTGGTAGCAGTGTGATAGCTCAGTGTTTGATAGTGGGTGCTTTTTAGAAGCGATGCTGGAGTAGCCGTATGTTTGATGGTGGTGGAATAGCCTTGTGGTTGTTAGCGGTGGAGTAGCCTTGTAGTTGGTAGCAGTGTGATAGCTCAGTGTTTGATAGTGTTAGAGTACCCAAGTGCTTACTTGCTCACCCACTCAAACTACTCACTGACTCACTAACGTACTCACACATTCACCCACCCAAACCACTCACTCACAGGTCACTTTACGAGGAGGGTAGCCTAGTGGTTAAAGCGTTCGCTCGTCACGCCGAAGACCCGGGTTCGATTCCCGACATGGGTACAATGTGTGAAGCCCATTTCTGGTGTCCCCCGCCGTGAAATTGCTGGAATATTGCTAAAAGCGGCGTAAAACCATACTCACTCACTCACTTTACGAGGAGACATTGCGCTGCACTAGGTTTGTTTACCAATAAACATCACGAGCATCGCCGAACTCCTTCTACTGGGACGATAAAGAGGTAACAAACAGGGAGTTTGAACCATATGTTTTTATGTGCACATAAACATAATTCGTTGAATTATAAACAATTATAGAGCTTTTGAAGAGAAAACGCTTTTGGGGTTAAAGCTCAAAAAATACAATTGCCGCTTTGGGCGTATTTTATTTCTCTAGCAGCTAAACGATGTTAATTTTCGACGCCAGATTTGAGTAACCAGATCGCCGACGACATGCAAGTTAATACCACAACAAGCAGAACGAGAAGTTCCCTTGCGATTTGTGATTCTAAAATAGAAAAATACAAGCACACCTCCTACGCAAGCATCATGTTTTCGATAAAGCTAATTCTTGAATCACGGGAGCTCGCATTAAAATACTGTAAACACCATTTTGTAGTTTTGTTATTGAAAGGGCGTGTGCATACACCTGACAAGCGGGCAATTTGGTTAATTTGGATATGTTTTACAGTCTCAGTCGGTTGTCGTTGCAATCCGTCTGTCTTGAGTCATTAACATTTAGAGATCAATGTATCACAGTCCTGTTTATTTAAATATTTGTCGATGTAATTTTGTTTCGATTTACCAATATCGTTTTGTGTAGAATGTAATAGTGTCATTTTGTGTAGACTGTAACACTACTGTATTTGAGTTAACTGTAAAAAAGTAATTTTTCCTCGACTGTAGACTGTAACACTGTTTTTACAGACTGTAGCACTTTTTATGTAGACTGTCACACTGTTAGTGTTGACTGAAACAATGCTGATGTAGACTGTAACATTGTCATATTGTGTATTCTGTAACACTGTTTATGTAGTCTGTAACACTGTTTATGTAGACTGTAACACTGTTTATGTAGACTGTAACATTGCCATATTGTGCAGTTTGTAAGACTGTTTATGTAGACTGTAACACTGTTCATGTAGACTGTAACATTGCAATGTTGTGTAGTCTGTAACACTGTTTTTGTAGACTGTAACACTGTTTATGTAGACTGTAACACTGTTAATGTTGAATGTAACCATGTTGATGTAGACTGTAACATTGTCATATTGTATATTCTGTAACACTGTTTATGTAGACTGTAACACTCTTTATGTAGACTGTAACACTGTTCATGTAGACTGTAACATTGAAATGGTGTGTAGTCTGTAACACTGTTGATGTAGACTGTAACATTGTCATATTGTATATTCTGTAACACTGTTTATGTAGTCTGTCACACTGTTTATGTAGATCGTAACACTGTTTATGTAGACTGTAACACTATTTATGTTGACTGGAACACTGTTTATGTAGACTGTAACTTTGTTGATGTAGACTGTAACACTGTTTATGTAGACAGTAACATTGTTTATGTAGACTGTAACACTATTTATGTTGACTGTCACACTGTTTATGTAGACTGTAACACTGTTTATGTAGACTGTAACATTGTCATAGTGTGTAGACTGTAACACTGTTTATGTAGATTGTAACACTGTTGATGTAGACTGTAACACTGTTTATGTAGACTGTAAAAACTCTTTATGTAGACTGTAACACTGTTTATGTAGACTGTAACACTGTTTATGTAGACTGTAACACTCTTTATGTAGACTGTAACACTGTTCATGTAGACTGTAACACTCTTTACGTAGACTGTAACACTGTTCATGTAGACTGTAACACTCTTTACGTTGACTGTAACACTCTTTATGTAGACTGTAACACTCTTTATGTAGACTGTAACACTCTTTATGTAGACTGTAACACTCTTTATGTAGACTGTAACACTCTTTATGTAGACTGTAACACTCTTTATGTAGACT